CCTTTGTCTCCCCAGTGGCGATGTTTACTACACACCGCACCAGTTACCCATTTGAGGCTGAGTAGACCTAGGGAAGACCCGGGACCGGTTCAAATATTAGTCAATGTTATTGGTTGTGAGCGAGAATCGAATCATAGTACGATAACTGATAGTGTAGCAAGCTAGAAAAAGCATTTCAATATTAACATACGCACAGGAACGGGTCATACATTTAATTTTGTTCTCAGAATGCATTTGATTTCTTCTCTATTCGTTACGTTCATCTCCTGGACATCTGTGAAAGAGAGCGTTAGAGCTCATCGGATTCCTCCAGTAATAAATGCATATTCTGAAGTGCAGTTGGCTGCTTTTTAGACGTGAACTCATGTCAATGACAGTATCAGAATATGTAATTGTTACTGGAGGAATCCGATGAGCTATAAAGCTCTTTTTTCACAGATGTCCAGTAGTGGCCCCGAGTCCTAGGGTCTATAAATTACAATTCCCATTCACAGGTTGTTGTTGTTGTTACACTGTATACGCACGTTAAGGAGCCTGGTGTATGAGTTAACGACAGGCACGCTGCGAATACGCAGGCAGAATGGTTTCTCGAACCTGTGCATTGTTCTCTAATCCACGTGTCCCCTTGTTGCAATGTCATTTTAATAGCAAGCATCTCTGTGTGTTGTTCAGATTTTATTCCAATATCCCTACACTCCATACATCACGGCTTATCTCTCTCTTTGTGAGCGTTGTCCTCAACGTCTTCAATCGTGTCCTTCCTTGCATTTAGCTCTGTTCATGATATTATTCAAGAACTTTGCATTCGATACTCCCAGTTGCATCCAATTGATCAAAGTGAACTTAATTCACTGTCTTCCCCGACTCTCTGTATCGATCATTTCCCCGGGTAACACGCACCGATTAAAATCATAACATTACGCTTTCCATGATCAAGCTCACTTTTCCCAAGCACTCCAATCTACTCTCGTCTGCCTCGTTATTTCATCAATGTGATCTCCACAAGTCAGCCGGAGTGGCAAATGGCAGCTTTCACACGGCCCGCTCTGTTAAGACAGAAATCCCGACCGATGCCATCATGGACCTGGTGACCGAACATCGATCAACGATCTCCCATTATCCAGATTGACAAGAGCTCAAGTCCGCCTACACCGACTGTCCTTCCGGCACGGATCGCAGCTGCTGTGTTTTACAGTTGTGTCCTGAACGTGAACGTGGGCTCTCTCTTTCCTAAAATGTCATTTATCTTGGGTCCAACTTGACAGGCATATTCGTGAAGCCCTTCTGACGGGTGCCCTCTAGTTCAGGGGTCGCCAAACCTTCGGCTCTTTAGGGGACTGCTTCCTCGTGACGTGCATTGAGCCTCTTGAAATATTGAGGTTTCTGTTTAGTTTTACCGAACTCGAAAAAAGAATGTCCCTTCTTCCCGGTTATTTTTGGTTTGCCGACCTCCCCACTGATCTAGCTCATCCACAGTTGAACGTTAAAATGACTGTCGTCGGCCAAAAACACATCCAAGATGATCCACACGCTCTCTCTATCCCCCCGTTCACATTCGGCCGTGCCTTTGCTTCGCAAATCCAGAGAGTATCATACTCTTAGTGTTTTCGGTAAAGTCACGTAGGTAAAAAATCTAATTAAAATTAATACAAATAAAATAATAATAAAAAAATCATTTCATTTTTTTCCTACGTGACTTTACCGAAAAAACAAAGAGTATGAATCCTTGCAGTCACGAAAGCTTCAAATCTAGAACCAGAAAGTATCCACGAACGCCTCTGGGAATAGCTTCGGTGAATGCGCATCGCCTTGCGCGGACGCCGCTTCTCGGCATCAAAATCTGAATATTTATTTATCCTGCAGGAATCCGATGAGCTATAAAGCCCTTTTTTCACAGACGTCCAGTGGGGGGCACGGGGTCAGAAAGTCCCAACAAACAACGCGATACACGAAAGGAGTGCAAAGCATAGGAGAGGTAAGAAAGTCACTAAAATAAGTAAATACAAATGAATAAGTAAAGCATAAGTCCATACATTACTGCAGAATTTCATTTGGAATTCAGTTCTCCCTTCATGTAAACTCTGTATCTGTTATTTTTTTATAAACTAGAATTTCGGCTGCCTATGACTGCCTTATTCTTGCTCCTACGGAGGGCTTCGCCTCGCCCGTCGAACTCCACTGATGTCCCCTTCTTCCCCCACCACCCCTGTGATCACTGTTACATTGCTTATGGCTTTATTTTGGTGATTTCAAAAAGTTTTTTGGTTTGGCCATGTTTGTTTGTTGTAATACGGAGTTAGAATGATGGCTTTAATCTAAGTTGTCTTGTGGTTGTTGTTGTTGTTTGACTTGCATCCCACTGGGATTTTTGCACACAGCGTTGGTGTACGGTGCTTTTTTTCTGGAAGACTTTGCAGTTTTTTTCCTGGATTTTTCTGTTTGCGCATAGTCACTTTAAGTAGTTTTCTTGTTCATGTTTTTTACTTTTGTTTGTTGAGGTTGCACCCGATTCAAGAGCCGAATGGCTCACAGTACTATACCAAATAAATGAAACTGAAAAACTGAAAAAAACCCAATGTGTGCAGAAACTACTGACTATTGTATGTAGGGTGCGTAGGCATATATACCTACACACCCTACATACTACTATAGAGTCAGTATATACTACTGACTCTACTAGTAGATACCACTGACTCTACGACTGACTCGACTCTATTGTATGTCGGGTGTTTCGGTATATATGCCTACAAAATAAATATATTTTCTTTGGGGTCGGGGATGGTCAACAATTGTTGTAAACCTGTTGGGTCAACTGTTTACCCCCACATCTCGGGGGAGGGGGGGGTTACACTTTCTATAACTTTTTGATTCAGGCCGTCTGAAAGGCTCCTATAATTTAGTTGATGAACAAACAGAACGCCGGGCTTTTATAATCGATGGTTCACGTTTACTTATTTTAGACCTCACACCATCTAGACTGGTACCCGTCACATAAAACAGTTAAAAATCATGACAAATAAAACATTTTAATTGTCAACATTTTAAATGTACTTAATGTATACCTCGACCATACTTCATAATGTACGGCTAATTACCATTATTTATTGCATTATTATATTTAACGTGTAACACGTTAATTGGTGATGCTGCTGTCAGCAGAGTGGTGCAACAAGCAGAGACAATACAAACTCAACACATTTGTTAATACAAATGCTGTCCTATTAAGAAGGGCCATAGCCTGAAACGTTGCCAATGACGCAATAAGACTTGTTCTCAATAATAACGGCCACTGTACTGGAGACGAATGGTGCAGCTGTAGTGTAAAGAGACATTACGTTTTGTTTCATCAAGCAGCAGACAAACAGAGCGGACAATTTTTTTTAAAAGGAAATACTTATCAGGAACAAATATCTGTAAATTACAACTCCCACATCATGCAATTGCCTTAAACAAACAAGCCAGCGAGCCGCCAGGTCATTCCACAATGTTTCCAGTGCCTTTTTGTGGCTTATTTGGGTTTCCTGGAAAGCGGGCAGACTGGTTTCAATTGTAGTTTTTGACCAAGATGTTTTTGCCTTGCCGTTACACTGCATTGCCTTTGTTTTCTTTGTTATTGTAACTTTCTGAAGCGCCCCCAACTGGACGTCTGTGAAAAAAAAGAGCTTTGTAGCTGTTCGGATTTCTTCAGGATAAAATTAAGATTCTGATCCTGGCACGGAGCTGAAGAAGCAGTGCAGGTTACACGGTGACGTGTTTACGCCACACAGCATCGTGGCAAAACGTGCATCGCACTGCAAATCGTGGGCAGTAATGTAAATGCACAGCAGCCTTATCTGCGCCTTGACGTTTAACACCTTACAACCATAACCTTTAACAACGGTGACAACGCTAACCTTTAACGCCTTACAAATGTGGGGTCTTACGTCATGAGTCGACAAATTGAATGGAACCTGCATTGTAAGTTAACAGGATTTTTCTATAATAATAAAAAAGGTAAATGATGCTGCACAACTGTTTACTCATACAAACACAATCACTAGGACATGTCAGCGATGGAAATACATCCCGGTGGTCATATCGTTTCAGGTATAGGTCCAATTTCAGCAGAATGTGAATTTAAACGGAAGCAAATTTCCCTTCTTATCCAGCAAGAAATTCAATGCGAGTATTAGCGAACACCTTTGGCATAATTATGCACGTGTCTGCATCTATTCAAGGGAAAAAAAAGCTCCACGGATGTTGCCTTTCTACCCATTTTTGTATGCTGGTATATACAGTATTATTAAGTCCGTGCCAAACAGATTCAGTTTTGCTGAAGGGGCAAAGAGCATGATACGTGATTATGTTGCGGAATTGTCCACAATATGACTGCAGAGACGGTGACCAAACGAAGTACGAACTAGATTTGAAGCTTTCGTGACTGCAAGGATTCATATGCTTAGGTTTTTTCGGTAAAGTCACGTAGCTAAAAAATTAAAATAAAAATTAATAAAAGTAAAATTAAATTAAAATCACGACGTTTCGGAGGCAATACAAGCTTCCGTCTTCAGGTGGAACCGTCACAGCACGATTGCTGTATCAAGTAACTTGATACAGCAATCGTGCTGTGACGTCGTGATTTTTATTTTATTTTTATTTTACTTTTATTAATTTTAATTTTTTACCTACATGACTTTACCGAAAAAACCTTAGAATATGAAGTACGAACTCTCACGTGAAACCCTCTCGTCATGGCGAGCAAGCGCTGATATTGACATTTAGCTACTGAACATGTTGCCTGCCATGCGCAAGAATGCAGTAGCAACCTGGGAGACTGGGAGCTTAACAGTCGCGTTAAGCCCTTCGCAGCAATACATCTGTGTGGGTGACGATCAGTGACAATCTCGTCGCCGTCGTAGTCTCAGTCCCGAGGCCGTGCAGATACATCGAGTTGGTCATTGGGTCGATGGCGTGGGGTCTCCCTCGTGATCCATGGTGGCGTGTCAGCCTTGGACACTTACTTGTTTGGAAACATCTTTTGCAGGTCTCTCCGCTTTTCCACTTTTCAGGGCCAGAGCAAAACGTCTTCGTTTACTATAACAATACAAATATAAGTATGCAGTGATCCGTCATAATCAGTTATCAACAACGCTAACAGCAGCAGAAGCTATGTACTTTTCAACTATTAAACTAAGCTATTTTTATTTTACCAGGTTGGGCCCACTGAGCTATATGGATATTTTTCAGAGGCGACCTGGCCACAAATGACAGGTCAATGAAGTTGGCTTATCATATGGAAATGTATTGAAGCCCAATACTCTAAACGCACATTGATTCTAAATATAGAGGGATAAATCGGAGGACCCAGGGGAAAATCCACGCTACCACGGGGAGAATACGTAAGCTCCAAATTAACAGCAGGCGTCAGGGATCGAACCCAAGACCTCCGGTATACCAGGCGAGGTAGTTAACATTAGTATTATTAGAGTGATGTGTTCGTGCCACTGTGGATTGCACTGCAATGTTAACGAAACCATCAATAACCTCGTTTGGAAAGCTAGTGATATTTTCATGATGATCATTATGGGAATCAAGGTTATTTCTGCTGGTTATTGCTCCGGGTCCTCCCTCCATATTTATAATCAATGTGCGATTAGAGTATTTGGCTGCTATAAATTTCCATGCGACAAGCCACTTCGTTGAGCTATCACTTGTGGCCAGGTCGCTTCTAGAATAGAGCTACATAGTTCAGTAGGGTCTTACCTGGTAAAATAAAAAATACATAGTTCATAGTTTAGTTGAATGATGCTGTGATGCTGCTGTGATGCTGCTGCTGCATTGGAAGTGGTGCACAAGCACAATTAATGACACATTCCTCGACAACACTGTGGCCTTGAAATAAAGAACAAACACGTGGAGGGCCATTGTCCCAAACATCACTGAGGGTAATCATCATGTTTTTAATTATGCGTCCATATTTAAATTTGAAGGCAGTGTTGTTGGGTGACGAGTGTGTGTTGAGGGGTTTTATTTGTTGTGTGTTCGCTATAAGCTGTAATTTAGTCGTTAAGAAAAGTGCAACAGTAATAAGATCCATTGTGGTAATTATACGTCGAAGGAAGACAATCGTGCCAATGGGGTAGATTTCGACGCCGTGCAATACTGTGCGTTTCTCGCCTCTCGCGACGGCCCCGAATGAGCCAAGCGGAATGTGCCGCTGATTTATTTCCCCGCGAAGTAACGCGCTAACACCAATAACGAATGACAGAAAAAAACACAATCGTCAATGACGCTGTTGTGTTTTTTTGTTAAAAATTATATAATCGGCTACTTTTTGGCCAATGGGCCTTCTTCACAGCACAAGAAACCCAATAAGAGAATGAGACAATCGCCCTTTGAAATAGATTTTTTTTTCAACCCCGCAAAATATTTCATTGTTCCTGACCGGGCGGAGAAAAAAAGAAATGTTGAACTTTTATTGAAATCTGCGAGAGTTATAAATGTGTTCAATTACGCCGTGAACAATTACACAAACTATCTTGGTGATGCTGCTGCATTTTGCCGATTCGTTGGCAGCCGCTGCGCCATCGACAGGCAACAGAAGCAATTCACCACGCGTGTCAATAATGCCCGTGTGGCCTTCATAGCAAATATATATACAGAGTAAAATTGGCGACGTTTCGGGCAACGGGCCTTCTCCGTAGCACATAAATAGAGGGGGTTGGAGACTGCGCAAAACGGCAAAATAAATCGAAATGTGTAAATGTCAGCGGTTAACGATCACTCAAAACCCAGAATGCATCAATGAAACCACCCACATTAAATGTATACAATGTTTGGATTTACAATAGAGTTTAAGTGAGTGTATGTACAAGGATTAAACTTAAATAATACCTATTTTTTTCATGCTTTCAACTGAAAACCGCATATTCACATCAAAATGAAGCAGTGAATGAGGATGTAATTATCAAATAATGTAAAGTAGCTTCGTCTGCCCGCGACGAGAAGGCCTACCACTCAATTGTAATACGCTGCCGCAGAGATGATGTGCCCAAAATGTGTCTACTTGGTATATGAACATCTTAACACCTGTTTTATTCTTATACTCCTAACACCTATTCTTATTTTTCATATTTTGATACTGGCAAAAAAATGCCCCATGCTATTATGTGCCCAGTCAATCTTAACTGAGGTTTTTATTTATGTAAAATGTGCTCGCAGCCATGGGCCTCAAGCCATATTAGATTGCCTATACCTTAAACGTCACAATGAGCGACCATGTTTAATCCACCGCTGGATGAACGCCTCCCCCCCCCCCCCAAGCCGTCGCCACTTCTCAAGCCGACGATCCAGCGACGTAAACGATCCAACCGAAGCCCTCCTGCGTGCGAGCTGACCACCGCGTTTGTCTCATCTGCGAGGTCAACTGCCTCATCTGCGAGGTCGACTGCCTCTCAAGAACGGTCCCCACCTCCCCCCTGCCACTCCTTTTGGCTGCCACTCCGTCACCACTCCTCGTCCACCGGGGCCATTGCCCCGTGCAAGCGACGTGCACACAGTGTTGGTGTACGGTGCTTTTTCTGCAATATTTTGCTGTCTTTTCTTGGATTTTCTGTTTGCACATAGTCACTTTAAGATGTTTTCTTGCTCATGTTTTTTTGGTTTGTTGCGGTTGCACCCGATTCAAGAGCCGAATGGCTCACAGGGCGATACCTAATACATGAAACTTGAAACTTGACGTGTCCCTGCCCAATTACCGCTTACAAATTCTCAAGTCGATGTGATGTCCGTAGCGTGCCTTCTGTTCCTCGATGCCCGCCTTACCCTGCCTTGCGGTGCAATTCCAATATTGCTCATCATTTCCACGTGCTCCTTTGCAATGTTTAGTATTTGTTCCATTTCAC